CCCCCCCCCCCCCATATAAAACCAAGGGAAACAGCCCAGATAATAGAGGGAAGCGCTTCACACAAATCTGTCTTCCAGGGACGCAGAAGCTGTCAATCAGCACCGTCACCATGACAACAGAGACCTGGGTTCTACATGCCATGACAGAAAGAGGATGGAGAGCACAGAGGGAAGGTCACCTCTTGTCATGTCAAACACTATGTTGCTCACGCACAAACGCAGACACTGACACGCGTGTACACACACGCGCGCACGCGCGATAAAGCAGGTGCACACCAACGCGTGCACAGCATCTAACAGGCATGAGCAAACACAAAGCATGACGGAGAGACTCCTGCTAAGTGGTGAGAGCAAGGAGATAGTAAATAAATCAGTAACGGAGCGATATGCACCAAACATGGTCGAATAAATCAGCGAGGAGCTTGGATGGCATGTTTATGTGTGCCATCCATAAACAGTGAGCCTGAGGTTCTCCAGCATTCTGTAATCAAGTTGTTCAGGAGAGACAGACACCAAAGTGAGCTCGGTGACTGCGGAGGTTGTGGAAAACAGAATCATTTTTCTGGCGAAGTAGCCGAATTCCAAAGCAGTGACCATCAGGCGACCTAGCCTTTTTAAAAGGCCGAACCCTCTCCGTGCCTATCATCGGAAAGCTACCGTCACCACACCAGTGTGTCGCAGCTTGGGCGGACCGGGAACATTTGGTGCTTTTCTTGGAGTGGGGAAGAAAGCCACAGCCATACACAAGCGGCCGCAGAGAGTCCTAGAACAGCCAAGAGTATTCTGAGGAGTGGCGGAAGTCGTGATGGGTTGTTGACTCTGGAGACGCTGCTCGTGGCAGGTGCGCGTCAGCGGCGAAGGCTGAGGCACGTGACCGGTGGGTGGGGGGGGCAATCAAAACAACCTCACCACCATGCGTCTGCACTTGAGGAATGTGCTTTAGGAGTATGTGGTGTCCAGTCCAGTTTACTGCACGGATAGTTACAGACGCTGGTTCCTAACCCCTCCCTTTAACAGGCTTTCTCAATCAGGCATTATGAAAGGGCTTTTACATCTGGCTTGAGAGTGAGCTTCATAGAAAACATGTCTCAGTTCCCACTGATGATCAAGTGTGGCATGCCGTGTGTGCAGCCCAGCCATAGAGGAGTTATGCTACGCAGCACATCGCCTCAGGATAGCTAAGCAGTCAGAAAGGGTAAACCAGAAATACAAAAAAAAAAGAGAGAGTGCTGTAACCCACTTTCTCCTATAACACAACCCATCAAACATCAGAAGCCATCATCATAGATTAGCCTGTCTCTAATCCTGGCTGTTAGCACAGCTGGGGCCGATTAGGGAGGGGGCATTCCTGACAGAGCCAACATGGCGTCACAGTCGCTGACAGCTCACCTGGAAACACATGGATAACTGTACAATACCGCACTGTTTCAATCACACACACAAACACGCACACACACACACACGCAGAGATCAAACGTAATGCCGGAGCAAAGCTGCCTGCTTGCCTGCCCCCGAGGCAGCAGGGTTAGGGCAGGAAGTCAGGCTTCAGAACTGTGCAACACTTCTAAGTCGACTTGATCCTTAAACAGGGGGGAGTTCCTGGTTTAGGGGGCGGCGACTGTAAGCCAGTGTGTGTGTGGAATAAAGAAAACTGATGGAGTGGTAGATGTGATGTGTGATTTAGAGAGTGAGTGAGACAGAACGTGTGAGAAAGAAACAGAAATTAGAGGTCGAGAGTGAGGGGGGGGGGGAGAACAGAGGGTCCTGTCACACCGTTAAACTTCGCAGGAAATCTGCTTAATGTGGATCAGGGAGGAAACGTGCTCTGTCAGTATCTGGCAGTGAACGCACGCAGTGTGAAACAAATGATACGGCAGCTCCACGGCAGAGCATATGTGGCGACAGCCTAAGAAGGTTTGGCTTTCTTGAAAAGGAAATGTAAAATCCATCTCTTGCTCAATGTGTACTTTGTCTTCGACCCGAATGAATAGCGTTCCCCAAAGATTAAAAGGCCTCCACTTGGTCATTCTGACCCAGACCTACTGTGTAATGGACACCTGCGGATTTGTCTCTCAACGTATAACTCTCTGTCTCAAAGAGCAGATGTAGACTTTTACATGTTGTTTCATTGCTGGACCGGTACGCTGAAACGAAATAGCAGCAAAACCGCGAGCCACAAATCCATTTTAAGTGTTTGAGCATTTTTACTAAGGTAATGCAATATGGTCGTGGCTTTATTGACTCCTAAAACAATGAAACTATGTACATACTATTTCCTGCAATTATTTGGCTTTATCAATCTAGCAAATAACACATTATGATGAAACATGGTTAGGGTGCTTTCCATATTAATGGTATTTTACAAAAGACTCTTATAATATTTGCTGTATTATTATTTCACTACATGAACTCAAAATGACCCTTCGCCAAATCCCACCCCTCGAACGCAGACTGGCCAATCGTAGCGGTAGATACTGCTGGATATGCATGATTATGCTTATTCGCATTCAGTCAGCAAAACATTAGCCGGCTTATCTTTGTCCGAACGGTTGTGTTCCAGTTGACATTTGGATTGTAGATCTGAAGGTCCTGCACCTACCCGTTTGTAAATTAGACATGTACCGCCAAAGATTTAATGCTGACAAGTGTCGGTTTGTTAACGCCAAACACCAGATAGGCGGCAACATGAGTAGCGTTAGTCGGTGGCAAACCGTCAAGGTTCCCCTAATTCGCGAGGCTCGACATCTTTAACTAACTTACATTTTGTAATATATGGCTCCTTTGCCTCTGTGGAGAGCTTCTCTTTCTGATGATGAACAATTGACAGATGACTAGACCGGTGACAGATAATGACAGCTGTTGTAGCTACGTGAGCCATCCTTGAAAAGTGTCGCCCTAGCACGCTCTGCGATTCCCATTCCCTGTTTGTACTGAAGCCCTTTTGTCTGCCCTGACCCTGTGTGCATACTGTAGGTGGACAGCTCTGCAGCGAGCTAAACGCACTTTGAGGTTTTACTGAAAGCAATTGTGAAACAATGAAAAGCTATTGGACAAAAAGATAAAAGACAACAAAAAGATGCCATAAACAAGAACTAAACCAAAGGTACAGATTGATTGTCATATTAGTTACATCTTCCCTCATAACAGGAAGAAACAAAGTATAGTGAAAGATCAACACTAGTTCCCCAGAGGACGTAGAAGTAAAAGAGTAAAATATATATCAGTTAGCCTAGCAGATAATGAACAATTGAGTCAGCCTCAGACAGCTAAGCTATAATGCGTACCCTTGTTAGCAATAAACTGATGACAGAAAACTAAATTAAACAATCAGCAATAACACAACAGCTGCTCTAATAAAACACTAATAAAAACAGTGCCTGCAGATAAGACATTTAATGAGTAGAATAAAGAGGCCTGTAAATATTTGCTTGGTCACAGATTGGTGGATGTAAAAATGAAACTGACAGTGGAAAATATTGTAAATATACACATTTTCAACAGTATATCAAAAAAAGATCAAGATGCAGCTAAAGTTTTTTTTCCCCGTCCCCTGAGCAGTGTGTCCTCCAAAGCTTACTGCTCTGATCGCACAGGGAGGTTCTCAACTTGGAGGTTCTCTCATTTGGTTTCTGGCAACAACGGAGCCTTGTGTTCGTGCATTTGTGTTTTTGGTATCGTGCATGGCTCGTTGTAGCACAGCGAGGCGTACTCACACTTCCTGTAGTGCCCAGGGACAGATGGTTCATCTGCTGGGCAAGAGGGCCCATCATGCTGGCAGGCTGCATGGACATAGTGTGGTCCATGGCTGGCGTGATCACTGCACCCTGGTGGAGACGGGAGAAAAGACGAGGAGAAGGTGAGATGAGAGGACGAGCCGGAGAAAGGAGGAAGATTGTGGATATTCTGTAATCTGATTTCCACAGAGTGGAAGGAGTCCACATAAAAAAGAAAGTTTGTATACGGGTGTATGCCCAAGAGGATAGGGTGTGGTGGTAAGGCTTAAAAGAAGGCCAGGCAGGAAGTTGGGGTTAGAGAGGATAAGAACAGAGAGAAAGTCAGCAGGAGGACAGGAAGGATCTTCAAAAACATAAAAGCAATAAAAACAGAGGAAGGGGGAAAGGTGGGGCTGAGGCAGGGATGACACGAGGACAAACGCAGCCAGAGAAGAAGAAGGGAAGAGGGGACAGTGTCAATAAACAGCAACAGAACACAGGGACATTTTCAGGATCAATGCACACTATTGTCTTTCGGTCCATCAAAATAGTCAATACGTGCTGCTGATGTATCAACAATATGGGTTTGTGGGGGTCATTGATTGAAGGGAAAGTATGCCTCCTCTCTGCCTCCCCCCGCCCGTCTCTCACTCACTGTCTGGCCTCCCCTCCTCTCGGTGAAATGCGCTGCATGTTTTCCCCAACGGGCGGATGAGAACGGTAGAAGCTTCTTTTTCCGCGGTGCAGTGGAACATGAGGGAAAGAGATGAAACCATTGTTGCACTTTCATCCCTTGTCATGATAGCTCCAGTTCCCCAGCACCGACGCCTCGGGAGGAGCGCGCTCACAACCGAGCCCTCTCCCTCGGCTCGGCTCGCCTCTCTTCTCACTTTGTGTGTCTGTGCTGCCAGTGTGTCTACGTGTGTTTGTAGGTAAGCCTGCAGCACACCGTGCGTAACAGCATCGGTGCACGAGTGTTTAAAGAGACTGACTGGCGTCTGCGGATGTGGGCGTGCAGCTCCGGCAGTGTGTGCGTGCATGTGCGCACCCCACTGGTGACTCTGTGTGGGCCTATTGGAGAACAAACTGTGCAGACACAGCCTGTCAGAACCGCTCTGCTTGTCTACTCCCTGCATTCACAACACAGTCAGCCAACTCTCTCTCTCTCCCACTCTCTCTCTCTCCCCCACCCTCCCTCATCTTCTCCCTTTACCACTCAATATGCTAGCTTCATATGATCCTTCCCGGAGTTTCACCTCAGCATACAAAGAAAGAGGCTGGGTGAATGCTGAGATCAGTAGTGGAAGGAGTGTTAAAATTGCACCAGTCTCATTATTACAAAGTGACCATTTACACATCACTAAATTAAAACAGTTTGCTCCACACAAACGAACAGGTGAAAGAGTGGGGCCCTGGGTTTTGCCTCTCGGGCTTTATACAACTGCCTTATCTTACTGAATGTCGGGGCTGAAACCTGAAAGGAATAACTGCAGAACTACTCAGAGCTGAAAAAGGCACTGGCTCATTGGTGTTTGGTTCATTTTTTTCTGATTACATTTGACTGTAATAATAATAATAATAACATGAATATATATAGGAAGTTAAATAAAAGCAGAGATTAGTTATTACTAAAAATTGTTACGTCGCTGAATAGAAAAAATGGACAAAACATATGTTAGCTTGTTAAATATATGACGTAATATGACAGACGGTCTAGCTATGTGACCCAACACTTGATGAAAATGCTATTTAATGACGATAACTCAGAGGATTCAACACAATGTACCTTAAATCACAAAAGTATGCTAATTAATGCTAAATCAAGCTAATAACAACTGCACGAATATTACTAATTCTGAAACTCATATTTCTCCATGTATGCATATTATACAAATAAAAAATAAGGGATTAGCAACTTAAAACATCAGTGCCCCCAATCTGTTATTATTATTATTTTATTATTATTATTATCAGTTTTCATATTGTAAACACGTTACATCTCATGATGAATGTCTTTTAGGTCGATTGAACAGCACTATAGATTTTTACTAGCAGCCCACTTTCACATTACAGAAGTCTTTACTTAAAGTTAACAAGATTAACTATTCTCAAGTCTTATGTGAACAATCTCAACATTTCTCCAATTAATAAATAAATAAATAATCAGTAGTTGCCTGAGTTGACCAGTGTGATGGACGGGAGAAGTAAAGGAGAGGGGAAACGAGGAGACAGCGTGAGGACAGGGGAAGGATGATTAAGTTGAGAGCCGATGGAGGTCACAAGGAAGACGGGAGCCAGAAGAGACGGACGGGGGAGAGGGAGGACAGAGAATTGGAGAGAAAGGCTGAGGGACACACGGGGGGGAGAGCGAGAGAGCCGACAAAGAGAGAGAAAGTGGAAGAGAGGAGGCGAGGAGGAGAGAAGGAAAGAGAAAGAGAGGAGCGAGAGGGAAGCAGCAGGAGCTGTGGGCTACCTGTTACCGATTCAGCCTCTGACAATGCCTTTATAATGGGAAAGGGAGAGCAACGGAAAGGCTTAATTCACAGACGTGTCAGGGAGAGTTAAGCCGATTTGTGATTTCGATTTTCTGTGTTTGTGAGACTGAGTGTCTGTGAGAGAGGGGGTTTTTAGTGTGTGTGTGTGAGCGGTGTGTGTCTGTCCTGAGCTAGACTAGAGAGGAGAGAAAATGAGAAGGAGACTGACACAAACAGAACAATATATGTTTTGGATTTGCCCGCTGCGTGAAAGAGAAAGCTAATGGATGCTACAGACGCATCTCAAATGCATGACATGATGTTTACAGATCTCCTCGATGTATGCACTGTTTTTGGTGTGCGAGTGAAATGTGTGCGCGTCCGAGAAAAACCCATCTTGCTAAAGATGGTATTGATCGTGCTCCAGACAGGAGACAGATGATATCAGCCCCCCTGGTTGTTAAATACGTTGATATACGCTCAGCGACCAGAGACAATGTACAGTAAATAAGAAATCTTGTAAAAAAAAAACCTAAAAAAAAACAGCAGTGTTTTTTTAACGACCACTCATTACGAGTAAATAGCAGCACTCAGACTGATGGAGCCCTGATCGGTATCAGCTGATATTCATTACTAAGCCTTTAGAGTTGCTGATCAGAAATAACAGCTGTAAAATGGGAAAGGCGATACATAAATGTCACACAGATAGTGTTTATACTGCCTGATCCATTACGGTTAATCTCCAGTCCTACACAGATTGAAGATGCAGTCAGGTATAGGCAGCATGTTGGGGCTCTCAAGCTTAAGGAACTGAGTATTTGTTTTCTTGCTGCACAGAATTGTATCCAATTTTGTGAACGCTGACATGAGAAATTGTCTTTATTTTTTTCCAGCTATGTGACCGAAAGAGAGTCATTTTTTAAATCTGCTCTGTCAAGAAGGCAGTGACAGATTTTGAAATAAAGAACAAAATTGCTCATTTTTGGAGAGTGTAACTGAGTATTACAAAATGTCAAGAAGCTCCCTTCAAAGTAAATAGACTACAATCTTCACGGACTAGAAAAACAAGCATCGATGGAGTCACCGCAACATCGAGAGGTCCTTGAACACGCACCCACAACTGGCCGGCCAAAAATATTATGCAGTTTGCTGCAGCAGAATGGGGGATTAGCCGTGGACAGACACAGAGGGGCACGCTCACTCACGGGCGCACACACCGATTGCATGATAATATCGCAGAGATAATAGAACTTTATTTATACAACACTTTTTAAACAAAGCTACAATTACTTTACGTGATTGTGGGCCCTGATGTATCACTGCTGGCAAGAATACATCTGTACTGTTCAGCCATCGCACGCAAAATCACTAATAGCTTGGTAAGCAGTAAGAACGGGGCATGAACAATGAAAAGTTTGCAAAGTATAAGTGCTTTGTGACAGGTAAAATGTGAAAGTCGGACACAAAAAAAAAAAGACACATTCAAAGCCTGAAGAGCGTCAAACAATGGCCGAGGCTGTGTTCCACTCAAACAAAGCTTGTGTTGTCCCCATGAAAGAGGACCTGCACTTGACTCAACACATTCCTCGCTGTATTTGACAGTTGGCTTCTCCATGTGACGTGTCGGTGGTTTGGATACCGATGCTGGTAGTCTGTTTTGTGTCGAGGTAAATGTGACACGCAAACACTGCAGGATACTCAGAGGTGCTGCGGCTCCACGCCGCAGGGTTCGAGTAATTCTGCTAAAGCTTCAGTACTGCGTAGACATTTCTCCGTCTCCAGTGAAACATGCAGACACAGACACAGCTTGTTCCCTGAGTCGTTATTGGTCTGGAAAGCCTGGTGTTATAGAACATCTGCTGATGATTGACTGGTAACTATAGACAGTACGGAAAGCCAGGGACCGCTAACACTAGAAGCCTGCCCACCTGAAGGGAATATCCTGTAGGTACAGAAACTGGATCCATAGAAGCCACAAAATTACACAAGTTACTGGATAGTGTGTGTATGCCTTGCTATTTATTATCTCTGCCCGGCATGAATGTAAGAGGAGAGTTCGCGTTTGGTCGTGTGTGTGTGCGTGCATCTGTCTGTCTGTCCATGGCTAATCTTGCATACTACTGACCAATCAGTCTAATATTCTTTTTGTGCTTATTTATGACTGAACGTTATTATGTGGTTGCGGTGATTCACACTTTTTTGAAAAACATATTATAGTGAGAAAGGGAGACGGTGGCAGTGGTAGTGGCAGTAAATGTACAGGTTGCCCGTGAATAAACACTGCAAACATACTCAATATCAAGGAAGTTCCCTTGACATGCTGCTAGGAGAAAGTGGAGGGAGAGTCTGTGGGATTAGCCAACTGTGGGTTGTATTGGTTCAATCGAACATTGCAGCAGCGCTCGTTGCAGACACACCTGTCTGAGATCTGCTCTCTGCTGAGTCCTTTCAAGTCTTGTTTTGTATTGGTGCTCTAATAAGCCTCACAATAGCCCCCCATGACTTTTGTTTCACCTCCCTCGACTGTGACCACAGTTATCAGATACCCTCAGGCACCTTTCTATTCAGGAACGCCCAAAAAAAGGGAGCCAGCATCCTGGGTCTTTCACTGTAATCCGTCAGCATGAATCCCTCCTC